CCCCTGAAGGCCACATTATTTTTGTCTAAATATTTTGCAGGATTTTCTCCCAGAAATCACCAAAGTACGTGTAATAATTAAAATTATCTGTACCAGCAGGATGATGGCTCTATGATTTTTTTTAAATTCATTTACCAATGGATTCACATTTGGCCACTATCTCAAGGGCCCATTTCTTCTGCTAAAGATTTTGTAACATTTAATACTGTCCTTGTAAAGCCAAAAAAGTTAGCCATGGTTAGTTACTACTCTGATCCAGCAGAAGTTACAGACGAATTCCTTGTCTAGAGAAACACTACGTCAGGGCTGGCCGTGTGGGAATGTAATGATAAGCTGGCGGAGTGCCAGTCATCCCTGGCAGGACTCTGGGGATCACCAGGATGATGTTACCTGGTACATGAGCATGTGTTACCTGGTGCAGGTGCTCTCTCAAGGAGGCAGCCGATTTGCACTGTGTTTTCTGGACATGCATCTCTTGTTTTTCAGAGTGAAAGATACTTTTTTTTAAAATCAATTCATTCAACAAAGAACTTCGTGTGTCTTCTATGTGCTCTGTGTCAGAGATCATGAGTGAGAGATGGATGGGGTCTTGCAATAGAGAGTATTACCCCGGGGGGAGAGGGGGAAGAAAGAGAGAGATTAACCGAATCATCAGTCCCTGTGAGGAAAAATTGTAACTGTTAAGCATTGTGAAGAAAGAGGATGGGGAGGTGATAATAAAGCTGATAACAGGAGAACTGAGAGGAGAGCCAAGACCAAGGGAACCTCTGATAGAGATATCTGCACTTTGAACAATGAGCCGAGGTCTCTGCAGGGGGAGATGACCTGTACAACAGGATGCTTCCGGAGAATTAAACAGCAGGGCGATTCCCAAGGATATGGGTAGACTTAGGAGAGGCGCAAAGGGATGGGGGAGCACTCTTGCGCTAAAATGAATGCGGCCCCGTTACCATTCCTGAGTCTAAAGGTGCATACTAGAAATTTGAGAAAACTGGGACTCCTATAGAAGGGGAACCACTAAAGCTACAGAGACCCAAGAAAGAAGAATCCAGACGAAATGACCCGATTCACTGTCCTCACTTCCTCTGATCTCCTGTTTACCTAGACAGATCCCAGCTAGAGTCCAGTGAAACCACAGAGGTCAGGCTGCAGGAAAGCAGAGAATAGATCTGGAGGAGTAGATGGCAAATATCCAGCGCTGAGAAGGTTACGATGACCACAGGTGGTTGCCATGGAGTCAGTAGTGGGGAGCTCCTCGGGAAAGGGAGCGGCATATACATATCCCACAGCAGGTGTGGCATGCCATCTTCCAGGGAGGCCTGTGTCAGTGCAGAGAGACTTGGCAGAAGGTCAGCTTGCATAATCGGAACAGCTTACAATGTCCAGGAACAAGGCTGAGGGTTCTGAGCTGCTCTAAGTCTAAGCGGTGACTCGGAGGCTGAGAAATGAGAGAACTCGGCCAGAATGCAGGAGATACCAGTGGGATCCTGAGATCATCCTTTGACCACTGCGTAATTGGATGCAGTTTACTGAAACAAATGATCCCGCTTCCTGATAATCTGTTAGCCACAGCTAGTGACGTGGGCATTAACAGATGGAAGGAAGTGGAGGAACTGCCTCTCGCTCATCTATTGCGAGAGAGCAGCCCATCAGCTTGCCCTGTCACGGGGACCTGCACAGGAGACCACAGAACCCGGGACAAAGCGATGGGGTTCCCGAGCCTGGGGTGGAGTAGAAGGGAGACACATACACACTAGAACAGACAGGCCACTCACTGCTTGATTCCTCACGGCTATGAACAGCACATCCAAACGCACTTCTGGCTTACCTGGCTGCCACAGAGCATCCTAGGTATGCCAGCATCACACTTGCATCTCTGTGCACTCCAGTCTTCTATCTTTGGCCGTGCAAACAAGATAATCAGGATGTTGCCTGTACCTATCTTCTGGCCCCTCATCCTAGCTCTCTTACTCACCTGCTCTGTCCCTTTGGGTAAGCTACTCAATACTTCTCACCCTCAGTTTCCTTATCAGTAAGATGGGGATGAAACTTCCCACACTATCCCAGTTACATGTGAGTCCCAAACAGGTAGTGTCAAGGGAAACTTTGGAAACTACTCCGTACACAAAGGAGTAGTTTGCTCCTGCTTATGAGAAGTTATTTTTTATTGTTTTAGGGGGCTGGAGCAGGGCACAGGGCATGAAAGTATAACTCATATGTTCAGTTCTGAGATGGTCTACCAATGGTAGAAATGCAGTAAGAGGCAGTCTCAAGACTTTCTGCAGGGCTCTGCACCTGTGTTCATGGCCAGCCATCTCCTGGAAATTCCTGCTAGAAAGGACTCAGGTGATGTGTTTCCAGGAGAGCCTCTAGAGATGCTTTTGCCCAGGAGTTCTTCACTTTATCCTCAGCTTTCTGTGTCTTTGTTTCCCAAGTGGCATAGTTACGTAGACAACCTCTTACCAGTCAGATGATGGAAAATTCCTGTTACCTTTTGTGTTCATATTTTGCGTACAGCAAGAGGCTGATGGAGTTTTCTGGATCATGCTAACAAAACATCAGACTGCTTTTCAAGACCTGTGGTCTGCCTGGAATCAGCCAAACAACCCCAGGCTCTTTTGACTCAAAATATTCCAATTTCTCTGTAAACATGGCCCAGGTCTACTCAAGTAGATTCCTACTTGAAGCCGTTTGGCAAAGAGTAAACCCTGTCAGGTTCCTTTCCAACTCTTTGCCCTTGTTTCCTTTCTCACTCATCTGCCTTCTAGCAGTAAGATAGGACTAGGATTTTTCATTTGTTTACTGAAGAGAACTGAATAACACTGCTGTAAGATGGGCTACACATCGCCCTAGCAAATTAGGCAAATAGCTCCATTTGCACATCTCTTAGGCTCCTGTCACCAGAGCATCCAGCTGCAACTTCCATTGTTGAACTCTGCGTCTGTACTTTGCAGCTTGGCATTGCCTAAAGTTCTGGAACGGTTCTTCTAAAAATGGTGCGTGTTTCTCTGGGGACATGCACTGTGCTCCACCATCTCACAGCCTCTTCTTCCTAAATGGTCGTCACGGAGTGTTCATGCAATGGACCGTGGCCACGGGAGATGCATTTCCTAGGGATGGGGAAGAGAAATGAGTGCTGGTATTTCTAAAAGTATAGACAGCCTGACAGCCAATTTTGGAGTCTGGGTGACATTTTCAATTGGTAATGCTGCTAATTACTCAAACCCTAGGAAACCATATGGAATACAGCCACAGCTCTAGAATTAATATAAGTGAGCACTGTGAACCCATTATAAACAGCATGTTTTCGTAGAATAATGGCACAGTATCTGTGTCAGCACAGTGTGATATTGTGGTTAAGACACACACATGCAAGCATAAAACTTCCTCATACTTCTGTGGGTTTTTTTCTTTTTTGGAAAATATTCCTGCTACTAGAATTTGTTAACCTAACTTTTATAACCAAAAACACCGGTGTCTTTGTTGAACATTGCCAATTGATGTTACTGTGATGGATTTTAGTTTTATTGAAAGAGGAGTATAAGTAAGTTTTGTAGGATGATATGAGGTATGAAGTTGGAAGGTAAAATGTACATTTCCAATTTTTGGTCCTCCTATTTGCCACCATATGAAATTCATCTGTTTAGTGTTTCTTCGTTGTTGTTTTTTTTTTAATCTCTCAAGATTATGTAATGATGTCATCTACTCCTATGGCTAATAGGGATTTTTTTAATTGACTTTTTTATTGGAAAGTCAGAATTATAGAGATAAGGAGAGAGTGAAGGATCTTCCCTCTGCTGGTTCACTCCTGAAGTGGCCACAAAGGCCAGAACATAGCCAATCCAAAGTCAGGATCCTCTTCCAGGTCCCCCATGCCGGTGCAGGGTCCCAAGGCTTTGGGCCATCCTCCACTGCTTTCCCAGGCCACAAAGAGGAGCTGGATGGGAAGTGGAACAGCTAGGACTTGAACCGGTGCCCATATGGGATCCCGGCATTTGCAATGTGAGGACTTCAGCCACTAGGCTACCATGCCAATTCCCTAATAGTTAAAAGTGAAAGTTTTTACTGTCAGGGGTCCTCTGAATGAAAGTTAGCAATGAGCATTAGCAATGAAAACTCAGCTGTCAGACTGAAATTCAGGTCTCAGCCTTAGCAGTGTTCCAATTTTAGTATGTGTGTTGCCAAAGTGAGCACCTTAGCAAGTGCCTGGAAAGAAAGTCCCAAACTGAACCATCTGCCTGGGGCGTCTCAGCCCACAGGATCCAGAGCTGGTTGCATTGTGCTAGGAAACAGAGCCTACCTTGATTTAAGTTGCCAAGTCTGACAGACACTTGAAACAGTTGCCTTTTGTACCTGTTGCTAGGTTTGGTGGCGCAAGCTCACACATGACACTCCACTGTCCTTGCCTCTATGTATCTCCAAAACCATCGGTGTTGTGAAGAAATTGGAGCAAGGAGAGCTGGCATTATGGTAAAGCAACCATCCACAAGGCTGGCATCCTAGCACCTCCACCTTTGATCAGCTGCCTGCTAATGGCTTGGGAAATGCAGGGAACATGGCACAAGTTCTTCGGCCTTTGCTGCTTCCGAGGAAGACCCGGTTGAAGCTCTTGCTTTCTGGTTTTGTCCTGGCTCCATCCTGGTTCCATCCTGGCTATTGGTACCCCTTGGGGAATGAATCAGCACACTGAAGACCAATGTCTCTCTCTTTCTCTCCCTCCCTCCACATCTTTCTTTGTGACATTAACTTGCACATATAAAAACTTTGATAAAAAAAAAAAAGGAGAACTACAAGGATATTAACAATGCCTCATAGGCCGAGAAACCTGTGCCTTGCACCATGTCTTCCACATGTATTTCATACACATGGGAGGACCAGTTCTTGCGGAGAGAACCATTGCTCTGCCCAGGCAGAACCAATCATAGATAGCTCCACTTGTGCCTTAATTACGTTTGATCCCTAAGATTCAAAGCTGATCCTGTGGCCTTCTTTGCTTCCAGGTTGTTCTTGATGTGGGGTGTGGATCAGGAATCCTGTCATTTTTCGCTGCACAGGCTGGAGCTAAGAGAGTCTATGCGGTTGAGGCCAGCTCGGCAGCACAACACGCACAGGTAAGTGATGGTGTTTTCAAGGAAGCTACCAACTGGGTCTGCATTCAAGTTCATGGTGCCAAGTGATGAAAACTCCCAGGCAGGCCATCCAGAATAATTGATTTTTCCCAATGTCTGATCCTTTTTCTGTTAGAATCCTGCTGCTGCTGCTGATGGAGTCCAACTATAATGGTGAAATTGAAACTTTTTTTTTTTCAAATTTAACTGATAAACTAAAGCAAAACCTTCTTCCTTCCTATCCATTGCGTGGCATGTTCCCCAGGGATAGGAGATGAGAGTTTTCTTGTCATTAATGACCTTATAAAAAGAAAAGTCAAATTGCACCAGAGCCAGGCATTGATTTGTTTTTTTTTGAAGAATTATTTATTTTTATTGGAAAGGCAGATTTACAGGGAGAAGGAGAGACAGAAAGATATTCTGTCCACTGGTTCACTCCCCAGGTGACTGCAACAGCCAGAGCTGAGCTGATTCGAAGCCGGGAGCTTCTTCCTGGTTCCCCACATGGTTATAATTTGTTGAAGTCTTTTCATCTGTAGGCATATTTGCATTGGGTAGCCAACACTTGGTAAAAAGAACTTTGAAGAGTTAGTGAAGCAACAAATGACTGAAAAATTTTCTGTTTTTCATAAACTTTTGAAAGTCCCGTCATCCAGCTGTTTTTGTGTATGTGTGTGTCATTGTTCATTTGTTTGGTTCTTTTTTTTCAAATGTCTGCTTGTTTCTCCGTTGTCATGGCTTTGCCAGAGAGGGAGAGCCATAGCCTGTACTTACACACAAAATCATTAGGGCTGGCCCTGCCCAAGGCAACTGCAGGCAGGACTCAACCTTCAGTAGATCTGTAGTACATTTATTTGCAAGTTGATAATTTTGTATGACCTCCAAATCGTATTATCAATATCCAACAGGCTCCTGTTGGTGGGCCCATCCCCCGGACAGTGATGTGTTTAAACGTTAAAGGTACAGTACATTTGACTGTGTATGTGATTATGAGGGCCTCTGGCAAGAAATCAACACAGAGAAGAAGGAAAAGGAAAAACTAAAATCTGAAAGCTTTTTGTTTGAAGAGCATTTCAAACGTAGAGGTAATTTGCAACACTGAAATGATTCAAAGATGCTTTTAATTCCCCTTATCTAGATTTGCCTGTTGCTTACAAACATTTTGTAGACTTTTTTGTTTCTTGTTTACTCTCTTCACCGTATGCATGATATGTGTACATACACATGCAAATGGGGATAGACACATCACTTTCATCCTATGTGATGGTCATATACTTCATAGGTCTTGGTTCTTAAACTTTTCACTGAATGTTTCCTGCAAATAGCATCCTTCTCATGTACAAAGCAAAGAGGATTCTAACCTAGTGGTGAGATGGAAGCTTTACAATGGCTTCCCTGTTAAGTCTGGTTGATGATAAATGGTGTTATCAATGGCCCCAGCTTGAACGGAGGGATTACCACCAAAAGTGCTGGGCTGGGGAAAGTCTCCACTTTCCCATCTTTCCTATTGCACGGTAATTGTGTAAACATTAAACACCCTAAAGGGTTCCACAGCACCACCGCTTTAGCTCCTGCCTGTGTCTGCTTCTCCGTGTGTGTGTGTGTGTGTGTGTGTGTGCACGTGTGCATGCTTGCAGTAGCCTTTGTGTGAATAACTGACTCAAGCCAGGGAGGAAAGTGACTTTAGCACTCTTGCCTGTCAGCCTGCTTTGCCCCCAAAGCCTTTTCTTACATGTGATCCCAAGAACATGCTGGTTAAAATTATATTCAGGGCCCAGGATAATTAGAATATTGTCACAGGGAGGGTTTAACAGCAGCCTGGTCGTGCTCCAAGGAATGCATGGGCTCCATCATGCCTGTTGCTCCCAGGCTGGGTGTCATGAAGTGTTTCCCCTTTCACCAAGGCCCTTTTGTCTTGTGGAGGGTGATCTGTACCAGCCCGTGGTTTGGGCATCTTGGGCTGACACCCACCTGCACTGTTTGTGGGTGGCAAAAAGTAATGATGAAAGCACACGCAAGATTTTCTGTCTAAGAATAGGCTGGTGCAGCGCGGCACACAGTGTGTGGAGCTCCTTTTGACCCTTTCATTATTGGGTAATTGAACCAGCAGACATTTAAATCTCCCCCCCCCCGGAGTCTTCATTAAATTGCTCAGAAAAGATAAAATTGCAACAAGAAAGAAAAACGTACAAATTTAACCACTGTCACCTGTCTCCGGATTCTTCTTCGCCCACCAAGGCTTTCTAGGCTTTAAGTAAACAGAATATTTTCAAATCACACTGATTTCCATTTCACTTATACTTGGCAGCTTGGTCCAATTTTTTTAAGGATTAATCCTAGGAAGGCAAGATAATAGGAATGCCTCCTTGCCCGGAGGGCATGCCTGGTAAGATTCTTTTTTTTAATGGAGTGGACATGAACTTGCCACATACTCACACCTTAGGCCCCAGCTGTCATTTTTGGATGATTAATAAGAGAATACCCCTGACCGAAGAAGAGGGCATAACTAAAGGTCCCCCACGTGTGTCTAAACTCTGAACCTGCTCTGTCTCAAGCTGTCTCTTTGCTCTTTTTTTTTTTCTCTCTAGCGTAAGAAACATAAAGCTAAGGCCTGCAGATCATGTAGGCCAAAAGCAAAAGGAGAAAGCTTCCATTAAATTTTATACATGGATGTGGTTCCAAGGGAGATTTTATTTTTTTATTGTAAAGTCGGATATACAAGAAGGAAAGGTGAAGATCTTCAATCCGCTGGTTCATTCCCCAAGTGGCCACAATGGCTGGAGCTGGGTCAAACGGAGGCCAGGGGTCAGATTCTTCTTCCAGGTCTCCCATGCAGGTGCAGGGTCCTAAGGCTTTGGGTGATCCTCGACTTCTTTCCCAGGCAACAGGCAAGGAGCTTGGAGGGAAATGGAGCAGTCAGAGTGCGAACTGGTGTCCATATAGGATTCCGGAACATGCAAGGCAAGGACTTTAACCACTAGGCTATGGCACTGGGCCTGGAGATACTCATTGATTTCAAATTGTACCATGCCTTTCCGTGGTACTAATAAATGCCTGAAAGGGCCAGAGTGGGGGTAATACAATGAGAATGAGCATCCATGACTTTCCCTATGCATTGTAATCCAATTACATCAACATCGTTCTTTGCCATTCAGACAGCGAAGTGCGAACTGTTACGGACCCATTCGATCAGTAGACTTTGCTGGTGCACAGCTCTTGTGACCAAAAACAATCCCTTTGGGACGGGGGACTTTGTGTTCCATCTTTTTGCCCTCAGGAAGGGTTGTGGCCTCAGGTAAACTGGTTCTGTTGGTGTGAGTGCTGGTCCCAGATTATGACTCAACAGAGAGCCACCGTCTACCAATATACCTAGGAGTTTGGGGCATAAGCACCTTGGTCCTGATCCTGACTTTGGACAGATGAAGCTGATGGGAGATGAGCATAAAGATAATAGTCCATCAAAGAAAGGGAATCCAGGGGACGGAACAAATGGATAATAAATGATAGGAAAGCCACTTAAACAGGAGCTGTTCCGGTATGCAAGAAGGAAGCTCCCTCCATGGACAACTTCAGTATTGACCCAATTCACTGAGGAGTTTAAATTAGACCATGTGGGATACCACCCTGTTTACTTCAGTCCACCCTTAACCCCAGCAAATAAGAAACCCCTTTTGCAGGCGGATCGTTGATTGACATGACTTCTGTATGTTCCTCCAAATCTGCTATGTTGGAGATTTACTTGGCAATGTGTTCATATTAAGACATGGAGCTTTTAAAAGATACCTGAGCCCTGGAGATGGAATCATTAAATGCATTCATGCCATTGCCCTAAGAGTGAGCGGTACTCTTTTGAGAGTGGGTTGTTCTAGAAGTGAGCTTGGCTCACCCTCATGGCTTCTTCCACAGGCACCCACCTGTTCTTAACGCTCTGCCAACATGAGGTAACAGTCTGAAAACCCTTCCCGGACACTGTCTCTGTACCCTTGGACTTGGCAGCCTCAGAAACCAAGCCTGACAAACCTCGTAGTGTATGGTGTCCTGTTACAGTCATGCCATGAGGGAATGTGGGAATTTCCATCCCTTGAAAAATCATGGATAGAAATACTCCCTTCGGAACATACTTTGAGGATTGAATGAGAAATCTGACATAAAAATTACTGCAGTGACTGACACGCTTGCTGTTGACATCATGGTTATCATCAAAATAGTTCTGGGGTTTCATGTCATCCATGTCTGTATAAATCAAAAACAGATTTCAAGGAAGAGATATTACCAGGCAACATAGGCCTACATGGGGCTGGCAGAGAAGCATGTTGCTTATGGGAAACGCGTTGCTTCTATTGCATTTTTTTCAGTTCTTTGACTTCTTTTCAAAACCCAGGCACTACAAAAGGCTCGGGCTTTGCTACCTTTTCTTCTCAAAGATCCTGCAGATGAGCAGCCACTCTGGAATCCAGTTCTCACGTAAAATTCGTAGCTGGGCCCTTTGATTGCCAACATGAGATTCCTCAGTTCTCTTCCGGCCTTCGTGGTTGTTCAGCCTCTGCAGCCTTGGGGACAGACATCAGAACATGCCTCCCCACACACACCCCAGCCCTTGCCAATACCTCTGCAAAACCACTTGCTTGGGTCCCATCCCCGTGAGGGTCTCATTAGCCTTTGCGTTTCTAGAACATTCTGTTGACATTAGTACTTCTGACAACGTGAGAACTTTGAGAACCCCTGCATGTCTGACCCACTGAAGCAAAACACTCCCTGAAATTGATTTTTTAAGATATTTTTTCCCTATTTCATTTTTACTTTTATAGTACAGTTTCTTAGGTTCTGGGATTTCCTCTATCTCCTTTTATTCCCTCTCCTAACTTATTTCCCCCTATCATCACAATAGTACAATCCTTCATGAGCAGTCATAAGTCCATTATTCTGTTATTTAAGTGCATCCTGACGTTGTAGGTATGGACAATTGCAGAGTCCGACATCCTATTGTCAAGATACATTTAAAC